CCCCACACACACACACACAGAAAAACCTCCCAGGAGGCAAGGAAACTGGAAAACATAAATGGAACATGTAAAACAGTTAACTGGAAGTACATAAGACACTACTGCAAAGCATGGATAAAGTCTCACCAAAATGGCTGTCCACATATACATCTTACAAGGTTGCATCCCCCATTCTTCTCCACAAGATTATGACATTTTGGGCAATGTTTGGCATTTTCAGTTATCCAAATTACCGTCTTTGAATCCTCCTTGCACTTCCTCATCCAAAGTTCCCACATCAGACATGAACAAGGTGAGTGCACTTCAGATAAACAATTAAAACAAAACTGTACGCCACAAGCACATTCAACCTCGCAGTATTCATCATCCTCAATACGAATTGCATTTCCACAATGAGGAACACTTGGGCACCATTTAACCCTCTTGTTATCATCAATATATGACTCTAGCAGAAAACGATCAAATTTCTCGGCCAAAGTAGGATCTTTTGCAGTAACGAGATCCCTAATCTTTCCTTCATCACAGATTGCATTGCACTTTTGGGCCATGCATGTTATTCGTTTACTCTTACCCTCATTTATCTTTACAATGAAATGAGTTGTCCAACCTACATAAAACAAGTACAGGGAACTTTTAACCTACACCATAGTTTGTTTGAGTGACAAGAAAAGTGAAAGCACCAATGAATGCAGTAAGTGAATCTAGCTCTTGAACTTTTCAAGATGTGCTAATCACTTTCACACTAAAGAAAGTCAACAAAGCTATAGGGCTGCTACAGAAACAAATTCTAAATGTTATTAATGCCATTAAATATGCAGTGAAAACTTGAAATCATCAGTTATTTCAAAGTTAGGTTATTATGAACGGGACTACCAAGCTTTCACATTTATGTGAGTCATACAAACAGAAACTTCAAATGTCGGGACAACAAACTCCAAAGCATGTAACAAGAATGCTGTGTCGCTAGTATAATGATTAAATGGGGACAAGAGATAAAAGAAACACAGATACTCCTACAGAGATAGAGGCTCCGGGAAGGGATTGTAGATGCTCACAATCATTGCAAAATCTATGGTTGCAGTCCATTGCAGCAGTCTTCTCAGCAGGGGCATCTTCGAAGCAAATTTGACATGTCATTTCAGTTGTCGACAGAGTGGAACAATGATCATCTTTTCCTTCCAGTGTCACACCCGCTTCAGCATATAACTTATCTCTCCCTCTCTCAACAAGAACCGCAAAGACCTTGTCAGCATCCCATCGATAATGAATAAGCAAGCTTCGTGCATGATGCTCCTTCAGAGATAGCAAGTCCATCACTCTTTGCAAGTCTTCTTTCTGCAAGTTTAATACAAATGCTTCACACGTCTATCATTAATTATTTATCCATATTGCAAAGTCGATTTTCTGGGAAAATTGTGGTGACCTGTGCAGCTAAAAGGGACTCTTTCCTGATTACCTGCAAAAGCCAAAAGCAGGCATAAAAATTTCAAGAAATTCATAAGTAGGAAAACAGCAGACAATCTCACAATTCAGGGAGATTTTGCTTCCAATGTTTTCCCTGATAAGTAATTATATATCCTCTATGCCTCATACACTAACTTTTGCAAATAGTATTCACTGCTTCAAAGAACCTCTTTTAGCTTTTTGAGAGTAGAAAATGCTTGCATATGGCTGAAAATTAAAAAGTAGGTAGCTGGCCAGAAGTTAATCTCAGTTACAGGATTTCCATCATAATAACAAAGGATTTTAGGAATCATTAAAGCTCTTCCGTTTTTGTCAAAGAAAATACTACTTTCTCATCTTTAATCACCCGAAATGCTTAAGAACTAGTACCAATTTTTCATTTGATCCTTTCAACACACACACACACACACACACACACAGAGCTGCACGACTTGCGTCCTTGACCCTGTCATAGAGTGAACTGAATGATGCTAACTCTTAGAGGTGGATGCAGTATGGTCTCAACTGAAACCACCACTTCTGATACAGAGCATATATGCACGTGTATGTGTGTGAAAAGAGTATTTCTAGTTACAACCAAAACCAGACAATATGAATTACTCATAAGAAATGTGAAGGAAATAAAACATGACATAGTAGTAAACGCAGGTCAATGAAGTGGCTTGAGATTTAAGAACCACGAGGTCGGAAGATAACATGTACCCGTGGAATTAATTAAGGTATGCACAACCAGAAAATGATAAGTTTAATTTGCATGAAGATGGTAAATTGGGAATTAAGGGGGCTAGAGACAGATTCAGGAATTGAACTTTTTCAAATTTTACCCAAACCCATTTGATTTGTTAGGTTCAAAATTTGTTATTTTGTACTACAATCTACAAATAAGTGAACTTTTTTGTTCGGCTGAACCAGTAAATTTTCGTTTTGACTATTTATCATAGTATATACCTTGCATGAAGGAGGATTTTGACAGACTCCATCACTCTCTACTTCAACTTGTGTAAACCCATCAAGCGATTCTTCATCATTGTAAAATTCATCATCACTGCTCCCATACACACTGCCGTCCTCCATATTTTTTAAAACCCCAAATTAAAGATATTCTAAAACGTGAATCTTTTTAATGAATTCTATGTTTGTTGATTCTTGTTTACTTCGAGGGGAAGGAAGGATTCGTAGAGTTATCGATCGCCGTGAAATTCTTGCCTTTTATAGGTTTTCTGTAGTATGGTAACTCTTTGCTGCCATTGGTCAAAAATAGTCACCCTTCGGGGGGCTGCATTTTGATAAAAAGATTTTATCTATATCTATCTATTATATAAATTATATTACCAAAATATCGTTCCTTTTTTTACCCTTTAAAAATTAAGTTTATATTCAATAAAATTATTATTTTACTTATCTTCTTAATATTTAAGACTTTTACATCAACTAAAATTCTATTTATCTCTTCTTATTTAAACTATGAAAAAAAGAAATTTAAAAATCAATGGAGAATTTACCTTATATAGTAAGTGATTCACTGTAATTATGATTTTAAAAAAAACAATAGATGAGGCCGAAAATAGATTAACATATCAAATATCCTTTCTACCAAGAGTATTTGATTTTGTTTGGCCAAAATCACTTATAACTTGAACTTTCCATGTTTCTATTTGTTTAAATTTTTATTTTGGTAAAATAACACCGCATAGAATTGTTCTTACTAAGTTTTTGAACATTGAAGAATTATTCTTACCAATTAAAAGTATCCTGTCGACTTTTATATTCATTAAATTGGATTTTACGCTAAACAAAATAGTTATTCAGTTACTTTCCTAACAAATAAGACTTTTTAATCACATAATTATTTACTAAATCTATATTTATTAGAATAATAGTGTTCTAATATCAAGAATTTTAAAATCAATTAAGATTTTACCTTATAAACTAGGAGTAATAGTAAAAATTAAATACTAAGGGCTCTTACAATCTTTTTAACATTATTCGTTCATTATCACAAATCTAAATAATCAAGAGTTTACCTTAGATAACAATAATACCTTCCATGTTAGAATTTCTAATGTTTAGTATTTTAAAATTAGAAAAAACAATGTATTACTTGTCAAAATACTCTTGAAATTAAATAAAGCAGATGGAATTGTGAATGTGCTATTTTCTTTATATCATAAATCAATTACTATTTGAAGTCTAAATAAGTGCAATATAGAAAGATAGATAGTTAAACATCACAGTATTAATTAATGATAAATTTAAAGATAAATAGTTAAACATCACAGTATTAATCAATGATAAATTTTTAATGGTAATTTCTGATTTCTATACTATTATAGTTGAACTACTTTCCTACGCAAATAATATTATTTATTTGTCATTTTTATAATATTAAAAACGATACTGAATAATTAGAACAAAAAACTAGCAAAACTTATAAGAGATAGAGATGATTAGCAATAGTCAATAACAATGGTTCTTCAAATACAAAGATCTAAAGTGAAATATCAGATAAATTTTTACCCTTTAAGAATAGAATTTTATTGCATAATTAAAACTCGGAATGAACTAAAACTAAGAATTTGCAGGAAAATACATTATTTTCTTTAGAATTAAGAAAAAAATGATTACGTTTTAAATTTAACTACAACAAAAGATCCAATTCAATTCTTTTTTAAACTAATCATTGCACAATAAATTATTTTTAAGTAGACAAAACTCTTAGGATATAAAAATTAAGTAAAATTATTTATAGTATAGTAACTTTAAATTGGCCAAGAGAAAACTTAAACCAATAAGGATGGAACAGTTTAAGACAAAATATATTCTAATGAATGACAACTCATTATATTTTATATAAATTAAGTTACTTCTTTTGAAAAATATTAACTCAATATTAGTCTTTTCAGGATTTATGTTGTCACTTACCATGTTTTCCCTGAATCGTAGGCCAACCACGTTATTCTTAAATTTCTAGAAGACTAATAGAGTCATTTTTTCAATTTTATATTACTTCATAAATTTTTAAAAATCATGATAAAAGCATTTTATGTTACTTATTAATTTTCAGTAGGTCGCATAATTAACAATAATATTCATAAAATATTCCTACAAAAACCCTCATACAACAACTAGCATTCAATTACAGTTTGTCACGACTCAAAAATCCACTATAAGTCGTGATGGCGCCTAACGCCGCCGTCAGGCAAGTCAACGGTGATTTATCAATTTAATTACTCATTTTTATTACTTTCGAAATCATAAATTTTAATAAGGAAGAAGATTTACACTTCTAAATACACGGGAACGTACAACATTTGTAGTTTATAAAAGAATTTAAAGGCATTAATTATGTATAAACCATAAGCATCAACTATTATAACCCCAAGATCCGGTGTCACAAGCGCATGAGTATTTTCTAAGGAGTACAATAATAATACAATATCTGTCCAGAATATAAATAAGACAGGATAAAATAAATAGTACGATGGAGACTCGGTGGACTGCGATGCGTAGCCTGAAATGCAGCTCACATAAATTCTCCTCAACTGGTGCGCCTACGCTCCAAGATGATCACCAAATGAACCTGTCAGATCCTGTACATTTAGTGTAGAAGTGCAGCATGAGTACTTAAATCAATGCATACCTAGTAAGTATCTAGCCTAACCCCGGAGAAGTAGTGACGAGGGGTCGACATCGACACTTACTAGAGGTCCAATAAAATAATATAATAATTCACAACAGATATGAAATGCACATCGATAGTGGGATAAATCTGTAAGTTACATAATCTTCCAAATATTTCTTTTAAAGTATGAATTTCTCGATCTTGTATTCTACCTTAACAACTTAGAAAAATATCAAGTGCCAATATCAAATAAATAAGGAATACCATATAAAATTTCGGGAATCAACGGAAAGATAATCTCGTGAATGTTCGGATTACCAGCAATATAACACACGATTATGCCGAGGTCATTCGGCCCGATCCAAAATAATGTGTACACTGCCGAGGGTCGAGCGACACGAATCATAGATGCATCTATTATACTGCCGAGGAGTTCGGCCCGCTCCATAAGAAAGAAAGAAAGTTATTGAATCATGAGGCACGTGTTTACAATACAGTACATGATTACAAGGTGAATATAACCTTTATCGTTTCTCATAAGTTCAATTAGATAAGCCAGCAAACGAGTTCAAATAATTCAATTATTACATAATAAGGTCCTAAGTCTACCCGAACATAAATATGCTTTAGCTACGTACGGACTCTCGTCACCTCGTGTGTACGTAGCACCCACAACTAGTATCACATAGCAATTACATCATCTAGGGGGTAGTTTTCCTCTCACAAAGTTAGACATGAGACTTATCTCGCTCCGAAGTTCCAAAACCGGCTCTACTGCCTTGCTTCTACGACACCGCACCTGCGGTCCTTCATGCGCAGGTACGAAAACACCAGCAATCAAAATTTCCAGCCTTTCCTTAAGTCAAAAATTTGATCCGTTAACTATCCGAAATTCACCCGAGGCCCCCAGGACCTTGACCAAATATACCAACGCAGCCCAAAATATATTATGGACTTAGTCGAGGCCTCAAATCACGCCAAACAATATCAAAACTACGAATCAACGATCGAAATCCTTTTTTAAACTTTCAAATTTCCAAACTTCGACGAACGCGTCCGATTCATATCAAAACATTCCGGAATGATGCCACACTTTGCGCACAAGTCATAAATCACAATACGAACCTATTCCAAGGCTCAAAATCCCAAACGGACATCGACAACACTAAAGTCCACCTCAAACCAAACTCAGAAAATTCTAAAGCCTTCCAAATGCCAACTTTCCACAATAAGTGCCGAAATGCTCCTGGGTGATCCGATACTCAACCCGAACATACGACCAAGTACGAAATCATCATACGAACCTATTGGAACCTTCAAATCCCAATTCCGAAGTCGTTTACTCAAAAGTCAAATCTTAGTCAATTCTTCCAACTTAAAGCTTCCGAAATTAGAATTTTCTTTCCAAATCAACTCCGAACTTCCCGAAATTCAATTCCGATCACACGTATAAGTCATAAACCATGAAGTGAAGCTACTCAAGGCCTCAAACCGCCGAATGACGCGCTAGAGCTCAAAACGGCTGATCGGGTCGTTACATTCTCCCCCACTTAAACATACGTTCGTCCTCAAACGTGCCAAGAACTGCTCCGAAGTTGTCCAAAATTACTGTTTTAACACCTCGCGCACCTGACCGTGTTGAACACATTAGCTCTAGTCAGACTGAAGATCCTCCCTTTTATTTAGTCAATAAGCCTTAGAACCAAATTCCAACCTCCGAATTTCTCTACAAGACCTGATTCTAACACACGAACACCGTATCAATCACTATACACTGTACCAAAACATGATCATGCACCTATGTTGAAATCACACCCTGCACCACATAAGTCGGTTGCCCAAAATAACATCCTCTTACCACAATAGCTGGAATTTCACGAATCTGATGCCCGCAATACGCCTCATGACGCATATAAGTCTTGTTCCAACTCTCGAAATGCTGCCACAATGTTAGTGATGTGTAGAAACTAATAACCACCTGCCGAATCAACAAATCATGGAGTCTCTCCTCCTGACAAGGACCATTACCTCATTCTGAACTGAATAACAATATTTGCTCTTTAATATACCCTACATAACTCCGATCGCACTGATCCCGAGTCCAATAACCTCGTCTCACCCAGTACAAGCTGCTCAGGCAATACGCTATCTCAGACACTGCCAAAAATCTCATATGACGCCCACAATGCACCAACAAGCTACAAACTCGAATGTGATACATAAGGAAAAATGAACTCTGGAAAAGGACTACCGAGCCCGCGTAATGAATAAAATGGCCGAATAGATATTGTGAACCTACCTCAGGGATGAAAAACAAGGCACAAAAAATAAGTGCAAGGAACTATGCTCAACATCTCGTTATTGCGGCATGCAACCCGATCCAACATGACACTGTTTCGACGTGTAACCCGATCCACACAACATGCCTGTGGCGGAGTGCCACCCGATCCATACAATATACACGTGGTGGCATGCCACCCAATCCACACATAACAATCAAGAAGAAAACACACATCAAGCCGTAACGCTTATACTTACGAAATGCCCAAATATTGACCACAAGCACAC